TATTGTAGTTATCACAAAATTTAGAAAAGGAGAAATATTTTGTTAGAGCTATAGAGAACTCACAATAGTAGACAGCACTAGAATTTTCATGGAAAATGATTCATTAAAAGATGAAATACACTAAGCAGTGCATAAAAATACACCCCAATGCATAAAAGCCAGTCTTTGATACTTCAATGAGTAGATATATAGCATATGTACCTAATTGAGTAGATATATAGCATGAACAAGAAATACCTTGCATAATAATAAAATGAGTGACTAATAATTTTGCTTTCTCATTTTAAAGATAATCTCTGACACTAAGATAGTATGCAAATTTGCCTTTTCGTATACATTCCTGTGGGTTATATATATTTGATAATCGATTTTTGCCATAACTACTGTAGGCATTCTGGACCCTGAGCTGAATTAGGCAATAAAACCAAGAAAGAAGGTAAAAACAGAGTAGCATGTATAGAGTGTAAGTGACTGACATTATGCTTATGATTTATGAGACATCATTTCAAAGATACCCATGTTCAATAAACATATTGCCTGCCGATTGTATGACACGGCTACTCGATAAGCACCCAGGTTGCCCTCAACCATGAAGTTCCCCTTTTAGAAAACCCTGAGTAGCCCAGGTAACTACCTCATTAGTGATCCTCTTTACTTCCCCTGCTCTCATTCCTGCTCTTGCAACTTCTCTATACAATTTAAGTAACCACGTTATTAAGCTTTCTGCTCTGTTATTCAAACAGTTTTCCGCTGCTCTTAGGTTTTAAATTCACGAAGAAAGGACTAATCTGCAAAACCCTATCTATCCTACCCTTGTGCCCCAATATAGGCAGAGCTCCAAGCAATTTTCTCTCTCTTTCTCCACATGACTGCCTTCTGTGGTCCCCTGAGAGTGGTGAGAGGAATGAATCTTGCGTGTTCATAGTTTCCTGGTGATTGTAGCAGTTATTATAAGGACCACAAGGGCCAGTCCAGCCATAACTATGGTCTGTATAACAAGTAGCAGGGCCAGACCAACGCCCCAGGCATTGGTAGCCTACAGCATCACTACCAACAGGCTGGGACTTAAAGGAAACAATGATAAAGTCTATAGTATCAAGAAAAGTTGTTAAGATGCCGAATTATTAAAAAATGAGGGAAACAAACATGAAAACAGTGATTTTAGATTTTCCTGGAATGAAATTAGATAAATTGTCACAGCAGCCACGTGAAGTTTTGTCCACATTAGTAGTGCCACTTAGGATTATTCAATCTATAAAATAAGAACAAATTACATACAATGATGTATGTCATTGGAGAACAAATTATTCTTTTTTAAATTAAATTTATTAGGGTGAAGTTTGTTAATAAGATCCAATAGGTTATAAGTGTATATTTCTTTGATACATAATCTGTATATTGTATTGGGTTCCCAACAACCACAGTCAAATCATCTTCTGTCCCCATGTATTTGGGCCCCTTGATCCTTTAGTACTCGCCAACCCCCTTCCCTTTGGAAACAACCATGCTGTTGTTTGTGTCTAAAGAAATCCCTGTTGCCCACTAAATAAACTGGAATTTCAAGTATTTCTGAGTAAGGTTGGAAAAACTGTAAAGGTAAGAATAAAGACACAGGGAAAAACTGTTTATATAACAGAGCAGAAAGCTTAATAAAGTGGTTACTTAAATTGTATAAAGAAGTTGCAACAAACAAATGGAAATTCCAGGAAATAAATAAAAAAGCAAGTTCTACAATGACATGCTAACTACAGAATAACAAGTTAAGGCTCTAAGACTTTGATCCCTGCAATCATGGATACTTCCTCATCCCTAGGACAACTGGACCTTTTATGGCTGTCATCCCAACAAATTGTTTCAGGGCCCCTTTTATGTCTTTGTTCCTGAGACTGTAGATGAAGGGGTTCAGTATCAGATGAGTCATTGGCAAATATGTTGTCCCACAGAGTGGTTTCCCTTTTCATTTTGATGATGGTTTCTTTTGCTGTGCAAAAGCTTTTTAGTGTTTCATAGTCCAATTTGTTTATGTTTTCCTTTATTTCTCTTGCCCTAGGAGATGTATCAGTGAAAATTCGGCTACATGAGATGTCTGAGATTTAATATTTGAGAAAGACAAATATTACATGATCTCACTTACAAATGGAATCTAATGAACATAATAAAGTAATGAATAAAATAGGTCCATAGGCATGGAAGCATGAAACAGACATGTCTCAGAGGGGACAGGAAGGAGATGGGAAGAGATTAACCAAAGAACTTATATACATACTAGAGGCCCGGTGCACCAATTTGTGCATGGGTGGGGTCCCTCAGCATGGCCTGCAGGGCTTGGGCCGAAACTGGCAGTCCAACGCTGCCTGCCACTCCTGCCTGCCGCTCTCACTCATCCCAGCCCCACTGCGCCTGCCATGGGCTCATGCCCAGTCAGTCCTGATCAGGAGCCCTGTGTCTGGCACCCATCCCAAGTGACCAAAAATTTTGCTTCCTCATTTTTAAGATAATCTCTGGTACTAATGTAGTATTATGTTAACCTATTTATTCAAATTTGCCTTTCCATGTACAGTCCAGTGGGAGATATATATTTGATAATTAATTTTTGCCATAATTACTGTAGGTATTCTGGACCCTGAGCTGAATTACGCAATAAAACCAAGAGAGAAGGTAAAAACGGAGTAGCATGTGTAAAGTGTAAGTGACTGACATTACGCTTTTGATTTATGAGGCATTACTTCAAAGATAACGATGTTGAAGAAACATATGGCCAATTGTATGACACAGCTACTTGAAAAGCATCCAGGTTGCCCCTACCCAATCAAGTTCCCCTTTTAAAAAACCCTTAGAAGCCTAAATAACTATGTCATGAGTGTTCCCACTTTGCCTCCCTGCTCTAATTCCTGCTCTTATGTTTTAAATTCACAAAGAAAGGGCTAATCTGCAAAATCCTATCATCCTGCCCTTGGACCCCAATAAAGGCAGAGCCCCAGTCCATTCTCTTTCCTTTCTCCCCAAGACCTTCTTGTGTGGTCCTCTGAGAGCGGTGAGAGTAATGACCCTTGTATGTTCATGGTTTCCTGATGGTTGTAGCAATTATTATAAGGACCACAAGGGCCAGTCCAGCCATACCTGTGGTCTGCATAACAAGTAGCAGGGCCAGGCCAGTGCCCAGGCATTTCTAGCCTATAGCATCATTCCCAATAGGCTTAAAGGAAAGAATGATAAAGTCTATTTTATCAGGAAAAGCTGTTAAGATACTGAATTACAAACAATGAGGGAAACAAACATGAAAACAGTGGTTTTAGATTTTCCTGAAATGAAATTAGATAAATGGTCTCAGTAGCCAAGTGAAGTTTTTTCCACATTAGTAGTACCACTTAGGATTATTCAATCTATAAAATAAGAACAAATTACATACAATGATGTATGTCATTGGAGAACAAATTATTCTTTTTTAAATTAAATTTATTAGGGTGAAATTGATTAATAAGATCAAATAGGTTGTAAGTGTATATTTCTTTGACACATAATCTGTATATTGTATTGGGTGCCCAATACCCACAGTCAAATCATCTTCTGTCCCCATGTATTTGGGCCCCTTGATCCTTTAGTACTCGCCTACCCCTTTCCCTCTGGAAACCACCATGCTGTTGTCTGTGTCTAAAGAAATCCCTGTTGCCCATTAAATAAACTGGAATTTCTAAGTATTTCTGAGTAAGGTTGGAAAAACTATAAAGGTAAGAATAAATACACAGGGATAAACTGTTTATATAACATAACAGAAAGCTTAATAAAGTGGTTACTTAAGTTGTATAGAGAAGTTGCAACAAACAAATGGAAATTCCAGGACATAAATAAAAAAGCAAGTTTGAGAACAACATGCTAACTAAAGAATAACAAGTTAAGGCTCCAAGACTTTGATCCCTGCTATCATGGACACTTCCTCATCCCAAGGACAACTGGACCTTTTATGCCTGTCATCCCAACAAATTGTTTCAGGGCCCCTTTTATGTCCTTGTTCCTGAGACTGTAGATGAAGGGGTTCAGCATGGGTGTGACCACCGTGTACATCACTGAGGCTGCTGCACTTGAGTGTGAGTGTTGGGCAGCAGCAGAGCTGAGATACACTCCTAGGCTTGTTCCATAAAATAAGGAGACAACTGAGAGATGAGACGCACAGGTAGAAAATGCCTTATACTTCCCCTCAGCTGTTGGGATTCCTCGCATAGAGGCTACTATCTTAGAGTAAGAGTAAATGATACAAACCAAGGGACCACCACCCATCAGCCCAATCCCAAAACACACCACCATCTTATTAATAAAGATGTCAGAACAGGCAAGTTGGACCATCTGATTGAGTTCACAGAAAAAATGAGGAACTTCCAAGCATGTACAAAAGGATAGTCGCAACACCATTAAACTTTGTAACATGCAATACAGGGCACTCATGATCCAGGACACCAGAACCAACAGTCCACAGAGCCGGGGGTTCATGATGACTGTGTAGTACAGTGGGTGACAGATGGCCACATACCTGTCATAGGCCATCACAGTCAGGATAAAGTCGTCCATTACTGCAAAGAGTATGAAAAAATACATCTGTGTGATGCAGCCTGCATAGGTTATGACTCTGCTCTGTGTCTGGATGTTCCACAGCATCTTTGGGACGGTGGTGGAGGTGACACAGATGTCAACCAAGGACAAGTTGGAGAGGAAGAAGTACATGGGTGTGTGGAGGTGGGAGTCTGAGCTGACAGCCAGGATGATGAGCAGGTTTCCCAACACTGTGATCAGGTACATGGAGAGGAAAAGCCCAAATATGAGGGGCTGCAGTTCTGGTTCCTCTGATAATCCCAGGAGAATAAATTCTGAAACTGAGGTATCATTGCCTTGTACCATGTGGTGGAGGTGATGACTAAGAACTAAAAAAAAATGATATGATTAATTTTCACACAAAACAGCCTTAGTAAAAGTTGAAATGCTACCATTTATATTTTGTCATCAATAATCAATATAGTCCTAGCCAGTTTGGCTCAGTGGTGATCTCTCAGTGGATAGAGCCTGTGGACCAAAGGGTTCTGGGATCCATTCCTGTCAAGGGCATGTACCTTGGTTGCAGGCTTCTCCCTAGCCCGGGCCCTGGTTGGGGCATAGGCAGGAGGCAACTATTTAATGCATTTCTCACATAGATGTTTCTCTCTGTCTTCCGCTCTCTCTTGCGCTCTCCCTAAAAACAATTGAAAAATATTCTTGGGTGAGGATTAACAAACAAAAGAGAAAGCAAAAAAATTAATCAATATGCTTTTTTTAATATTGGTCATCATAATGGATCTATCCTGACATCTCCGATTAGGAGGTTTTGTCCCACTTAGACCTTTTCCCCAGGAGAAAAATTAGGTGTAAAAAAGAGTGAGTGAGGGTGCTATTTTTTTTTTACTGGGAGTTCAGGAAGCCCTGCAAACAAGGTGACATTTGAACAAAGACCTCAAGGAAGACAGAGAGAAAGACACAAAGATATCTGGAGGAGGTGTGTGCCCTGTTGGTGAAAGAGTCAAGCAAAGACCATGAAAATGACAGTCTCAGATATTTAAGGCTCCAAAAGGAGCCAGTGCCCAGAGGGGAGTGAGCAAGAGGGATGAGAGAAGAGGTCAGAGAAAGTTGAGGAATGAGGTGGCCTCTTTGCTGTTGCTCAAACTTTAAGACACAGGGAAGCCCTTGGTTACCTGTTGTTCCCTTCAATGTATCTATTTTGTTTCCAAAAAAAATCCTTTCAGTTGAAACGACCCCTCATATCCACTCATTGCCTCATATTCTGGCACCTTTATTTTAAGGGTCACATTTAGAGTGTATGGGCTCAGGTACTGCCACCCTTCAACTGTTCAGGCCCACCAAAATACACAAGCACAAAACAACCAACACACACACACAACTGACCCTCAGAGTGCACTCTGACCTGCTAGGGTCATGTTACTACAAGGCTCTACTTACTCCAGGCACAATAATTAGGAAAGCACTGATCCAAGGAAGATGTCAACATTAGATTATCTTTACCCTGAAGAATGTGAAAATAGTATCAGATTCAGTTGGTAAATCTCCCATGAACATGTAAACTAGAGTTCTGTACTCAGATGACCATTTGGAGTCCTTTATACAACAAAACATAAAATGCACTTCAAAACAGAGAGAGGAAAGATATAGACATGTATGAGAAAAATATATATATCTAAATGCTCAAGTGGTTCTTGAGAGTTTGTGATGAGGAGTAAGCTTCCTTGGTTCTGGCAGCATTCAAATTCCAGTTATTATGTCCCCATTATGCCCAGAATAATTAATAAAGCAGCAGAAAACAATGAATTCTCAGGAGAAAGGAATGATATCTTACAATGTGAAGATGCCTTACTGATTTAACATCCCACTAGAAAAATGAGCAAAGGGAATAAATGCACGATTTACAACAGAAATGTACAACACATAAAATAGCAGTAGATATTTAATGATGAAATGATTAAAGAATTTCTAAATGATATCAAATGCAAAACTGTTGGAATCAGAAAACTGGTTTTAAATCTCTACCGTATATTAGTTGTTTGTCCATGGAGAGCCAACTAAACCATTCTAGATTTTAACATACTCAAATAATGAAATAGCCTTTGTCTGGAAGTTTGACAGATTTAGTTAATATATAATTAAAAGCTTAGCATAGTTCCTTCCTGTTAATAAATGAGTGGTTATTACTGGTCATGAGCTGAGGCCTAATTTTTTCTTCAGCCCCTCCAATGTCTCTGTTGCTTCTCCACCTCTAGGTAATAAAATAATTATAAAGTTCATTAGCATACTCTTTTTGCATATTAAATACAATTCTCATGTGAGTACCCAACACGAGAGAAAGTATTGTGACTTGTATGTCTCAACAACGTTTGTCTCAAGAAGTGTTGCAAAGTAATATTTACTTCCCGTGGTCTGGGTATTTCTAATAAAAGCAGGGCATGCTAAAATGCATTCCAATTTAAACAATGAAAAAAAAATGCCCTCAGTTCACCGGACAGGACTTCAAACTTAATTCTCTTTTTACAGCTCCTCTTAATTGCAAAACTCAGATATCTTCCAATTTTACAGGAATCACTTTGAACCCCATGTTCCCTATTAGTTCTCATCCAATTGAATTGTAACAATGATCCTTGTATTTCTGAATCCAAAAGACACTTCTTTTTTTAACATATTAAAATAGATGCATTATAAATCAATGAGTCTACCTACCAAACAAACATGACAATTTTTTGGCTTGATTCTAGATTGGTTTGCCTCTCTGGTGACCTCAGGTAAAAGTTCTCCATTTCCAATATCACTGAACATTGTGTGAAGTACCTAACGGGCCTTCTGACTCACCTGGGTGGGGTTTCTAAGAAAGAGGTTTCTGAATCTGAATTCTGAATGGTTGATGGTGGAGACTGAAGCTCTGTTCCCAGACAGAACAACAGGAAGGAGGGAAGCATCAGTTCCTGCACCAGATATAGGAATCCAAAAGCAACACCCATGTCCTGTCCAGCTCAAGAATGGCCATCCTGAGAGACTACAATAGAGGAGATATATACAGCTCCCCATGTCTGCTCATTAGGCACTGTTTCCATTGTTACTCCCTCCTCTGAGCACATTACTTCCCTGAGAGACACTGGTCTGGACACAGAGGAAATTACTCCTGCTATTTCTCCTCCCAAGAGGCCAAATTAGAAGTCAAGTGAATTCAGTTTTTATTACTCCTTCTCTGTAAACTCACCAGCCTTCCGGAGTTTTTTGTTTGTTTTCTTTTTTCTTTTATTGCTCCGTGCTGAGTAGAAAGAAGGTTAATATTGTAACTGCATTCTCCACTTTTTAAAATTACTCTGGAGTTTCCAAAATTTAATATTTTAAATTTTAAAAGTTTTTTAGAAAATCAGAATTAATTTTTAATGTATATAGCTTAACAAGACAGGGATGTCCACTCTAACCACTCCTGTTCAACATAGTACTAGAAGTACTAGCCATGGCAATCAGACAAGAAGAAGAAATAAAAGGCATCCAAAATAAAGAAGAAGTAAAACTGTCTTTATTCTAAGATGACATGATACTGTACATAGAAAACCCTAAAGAGTCCATCAAAAAATTATAAGACTTAATAAATTAATTTGGCAATGTAGCAGGATACAAAATCAATGCCAAGAAATCTATGGCATTTCTATACACCAATAATGAACTTACAGAAAGAGAGACTAAAAAAGCAATCCCATTTACCATCACACCAAAAAAATTAAGATACCTAGGAATAAACTTAGTTAAGGAGGTAAAAGACCTATACACAGAAAACTACAGGACACTGAAGAAGGAGATAGAGGAAGACATAAACAGGTGGAAGAACATACTGTGTTCATGGATTGGTAGAATCAACATCATCAAGATGTCTGGGATCTCAATACCAGATATCAAGCTGTATTACAAAGCCACTGTTCTCAAAACAGCCTGGTACTGGCACAAGAACAGACATATAGATCAAGGGAATAGAATAGTGAACCCAGAAATTGACCCAAACCACTATCCTCAATTAATATTCGACAAAGGAGGCATGAACATACAATGGAGTCAAGACAGCCTCTTCAATAAATGATGTTGGGAAAATTGAACAGATACATGCAAAAAAATGAAACTAGACCGCCAATTTACACAGCCATACACAAAAATAAACTACAAATGGATAAAGGACTTAAACAAAGACGGGAAACCACAAAAATACTAGAGGAATCCACAGGCAGCAAAATCTCAGACATATGCCGAAGCAATTTCTTCACTGATACTGCTCCTAGGGCAATGGAAACTAAAGAGAAAATAAACAAATGGGACTACATCAAAATAAAAAGCTTCTGCACAGCAAAAGAAACCATCAACAAAACAACAAGAAAGCCCACTGCATGGGAGAACATATTTGCCAATGTTATCACCGATAAGGGTTTAATCTCCAACATTTATAGGGAACTCATACAACTTAACAAAAGGAAGATAAACAACCCAATCAAAAAATGGGCAATGGACCTAAATAGATACTTTTCAAAAGAAGACAGAAGAAAGGCCAAAAGACATATGAAAACATGTTCAAAGTCACTAATCATCGGAGAGATGCAAATCAAAACGACAATGGGGTACCATCTCACCCCTGTCAGAATGGCTATCATCAACAAATCAACAAA